AAATGTCAAGTCTGACACGTTGCTACTTTGTAAAAAAAATTTTTGCATGAAAATTATTATTTACACATTAAAGTACAAGTCATTAACTTTAAAACACGCAAAAGTAAATGACTTTACGATTATTTTGTGACTGAGATATGAGATTTTGAAAATTTTTTGTCATTTATAGTGAAAACGAAATTATTGTGAATTCGAAAATTATTTAGTATTATTTTTTTGCAACTTTCTTATTTGGATTAATTAGGTTTTTTATTTAAAACATTATTACAAACAAGAACATTATTTGTAAATTTGTAATAAAATTTTAAAAAACGACTCAAGAAATTTAACTTTATTATAAAATTCAAAAACTTTTTTACAAAAACAAATTTGATAAAAAAAATCATATTTTGCAACATGTCCTTTTCCTTGTATAACTGCGTTTATTCTTCGCGGCATACTTTCAATACAAGCTCTTGCTTTTGCAGTAATATCTGGGCTATTCCAGGTTTCTTTCACCAAAAATACTGCCGCAACTCACTTTTCACTATAAATGACAAAAAATTTTCAAAATCTCATATCTCGGTCAAAAAAAAATCGTCAAGTCATTTACTTCAGCGCGTTTTAAAGTTAATGACTTGTAGTTTAATGTGTAAATAATAATTTTTATGCAAAAAATTTTGTTACAACGTAGCAACTTGTCAGACTTGAAATTTTTTTTTAAAAAAAAATTGCTTTGTTCAAATGTGCAAATTTTAGCAAAAAATTGAGATAAATTAAATTAATAATTTTTAGGTGAAAGTAGAAGACTTGAACATGATTTCCTGAAATTTTTATGAAAATTGATTCATTTTTGAAAAAGTTATGACACTTTGAAAAATGACAATTTTTTAGAAATTTTAAGTGTCCCTTATAATTTGGAAGGGTACTGTACATTACACCGTTTAGATCTAATTAGGTAAAAACTGAAATGCCCAAAATTTCATTTTTTTTTTTTAACTGGCTATCACACATTGAGCTCTCCTCAGAAACCTTCACAAACACAACTCTCAAACACACTCTATTGAGAGGAAAGAGAAATAAATTCATTTTCAGCTTCTTGGTAATTAGTTCAAACCAAAAGTCTACTTTGAGTGGCTTATATAAAAGACCTAATAACATACCTGCCAACTCTTCCGGATTTTCTGGAAGATTTTATTTTCATATTTAAAGTGGTAGTAAATATATACTATTTTTTCTTTTATAAACTTAATTTTTAAATGATTTTGATCACCACTATTCTTACAAAAATTTAGCGCATCTATTAATATGCGTTACTATCATGGTTGTTTACTTAAGTTTTCTCAAATACAATGTATTTGTTTGCTTAAAATTGAAGTTTTAATTCCATTTTAATACCACTGGGAAAAATGATAATGGAAGGGATTAAAAGTTGGCAGGTATGTAATAAGCATGTTATGATGTTACTTAAGTGCTGGCAAAAATTTTGAAAGCATTTCCCTATAAATACTGTGGCGACATTAAACTTCCTGGTTGGCATCTGTCTGGTTATTTTATTTCGACTATTTATGGGTGTAGGCGTATGTGTTCCACAATGTTAAGAACTCTAATTTAAAAAAAGGAATTGTTTGTATGTGTCTATTTTTTTAAATTTTTTTTTAAAGATTATTAAAAAATTTAAATTCTTGAAAAGTAAGATTGGCCGGAAAAAGAATTAGCAATTCATTCATTCTGCCTAATATCAGGTTTTAAAAAAAAATCAATATTTACTTACTTGCTTAACGGATGATGATTGATGATATGAAGCTATTGCTAATCAGTGATACTTGCTTCTTTCGCTTCTTTTCTCTCAACGTATTTTGCATGCCTGCTTGATATATATAATTCTGCACACTACTTCTAAACATTGGCAGATTTTGGCAATAAATGATGTTTTTTGCTAGATGTAATATAATTTTTAAATCTGTATAAAGCTCTTTTCATATTATTGATCTTATCTGTAAATTTTTTCTCATTTATTAGTTGCTAATTGGGGAATACCGCTTGCTGCTATAGCAGATATTAAAAAGGATCCAAGTATAATTAGTGGCAAGATGACTTTAGGTGACTTATATTTTCATTTTACGTTACAAAATATCATGTAAATCTATCTTTATTTTAATTTTTTCTATTATTTTTATTTAGCATTGTGTATATATTCACTCCTTTTTATGAGATTTGCTTGGAAAGTACAACCTAGAAATATGCTGTTATTTGCTTGCCATTTTACAAATGAAGCAGCTCAAATAACTCAAGGTTGTAGACTTGTAAAGCATGAGTAAGTTTTTTTTTCTCTATTCATTTTTTAAATTTGTTCTTGTATTTTTTCTGCCTTCAGCAAAATAGTTTTTTGAAAAAAGTACAGTAGAGCGCCGATTATCCGAACCCTTATTATCTGAACGTCCAATTATCCGAACTGTGTCCGAATTTTTAATTTTTTTTTTAAAGTTTGGAATACTTTTTAACTTATTAACAATTTTTCTAAATTTCTGAAAAAGTAGATCATTTGGATGAAAAGATGCCAGGTTATGCAGCAGAAGAAATAGAAGACTGGTGTCGAGACACTGAAAACGTTCCGGTATTTCAAATGATGNTCTATTCATTTTTTAAATTTGTTCTTGTATTTTTTCTGCCTTCAGCAAAATAGTTTTTTAAAAAAAGTACAGTAGAGCGCCGATTATCTGAAAAAGTAGATCATTTGGATAAAAAGATGCCAGGTTATGCAGCAGAAGAAATAGAAGACTGGTGTCGAGACACTGAAGACGTCCCGGTATTTCAAATGATGATGAAATAGTTGCTAAAATTTTGAATAAAAATAGGAACTCCACAGACAAAGAGGAAGACGTAGGTGATCAAGTTCAAGATAGTGGACCTTCTCATATAAAAGCTTACAATTCATTAGATATTGCAATGAATTGACTAGAACGCCAAAATGATGTTGATCCAGTTCAGTTGATTTATTTAAAAAGAATAAGGGATATGGCTATTCAAAAAGAGCATCTTCTTTGAAACAAAAGTCTTTGCTAGATTTCTTTTGTAATGGAAAATAAAGAAAAATGTGGTTGAATCAGTAATTGACAAAAATTTTTTTTAAAAAAGCTGAAATATGATTAAAAAAATTCAAAATGAAGAAAAAAGTTTTAAAAGAAATAAATAAAAAATATTTGAAATTTTTTTTTTAAACAGAGCTATTTTAGATAGTACTGCCAGTCCTAAACCTGGAAAAAGTGTGAAGGCAAGTTAGTGCATAAATAATGATCATTTAAACCAGATTTTAAACAACCTTCCAATTATCCGAAATTTTCATTATCCGAACGACGTTCGGTCCCGAGCCGTTCGGATAATCAGCACTCTACTGTATGTGGAAAAAATTGGATTGCCCTTGTGTAATTTGGTGAGATTACAAACTAATGTGACTAACAAATAATTGTAAAATACTGATTTAACTTATTGTGTAGAAATACAAACAAGATGACCATATTATCTTATTAAGGTTGTTATTTTTTCCTTTTCATGTCACTTTATAGGAACTACAAAAACTTTAGACCTTATAAAACCTCTAAGATCTCTTTCTTCATTTAACTTTGTTAAATCAGATTTTTGTATATTCTCTCTGCAGTTTTTTTCGAAGACCTTTCAATTTCCATACAAAAATTTATAGAAGCATTTATAGAAAATGATGGAAATATATTATTGATTGTTCTTTTGATTTAATTGTAATTTTGAATACTTATGCTTTTCTTTTCTATTTGTAGGTATCTTACTTCATCTTCTTAAGCAATGATATTTAGGCTAATTAGGAAATTCTTGTTATTTACACCTCCTGAAGTTTTGAAGCTCAATGATTTAGCATAGATTTTAGCGTTCTGATATAAAAATGCTGTTTATTCAATCAACTTACATTTTCATATTAGTGCATTAAGAATTTTATCAAAATCCTGTTTAATATTGCTACAATGTGGGCAGCTGTTATGACACATTTTTAAAGGAAAGAATAATTCTAGTCGTATAATTGTTTGACCTTATTGTGACCAATTTGACTATTAGAACATTATTAACTAATTATTGAACACTATTACCTATTTAGTAATGGCAAATAACTTTTCATTTTCAATGTTTTAACGGGATTTGTTTTTTAAATTGTCTATAATTCAAATAAGTATGATGAATATTATTCTAATTCTGAATTTAGTATCAGAACTCTCAGTGGAAAAACAACACACTGAATATTAGCTTATTGTGAACCAGCTGAGAAATGTTAAATTTTAAAAACTTACTCTAATTTAAATTATAATTAGACAAGGATAAATATCCAATGAAAATTTTAATTGACTCTATTAGTTGAGAAATATATTTTTACATTTTGTTTTAAATATGGATGGCTTACTATAAAGAACTATCTTCTTTCATTTTAAATTGTTTTTGACTTAAAGGTTTTATGGCTAAATCTTTTATGTCTATTTTTAATGTCACCATCTGCTGTGTTTACTGAATTACTATACTTTTTTTTTTAAATAACTTGCATTATATAATAAATGTTGACTATAAGTTTATTTTGTAAAACAATTATTTGCAAAGTAATAACACTTATTTCACTATAAGTTTTTGTTTTAGTGACATACTTAAGAAATGTGTAAAAAATAAATATATTTAATCCTGTTCTTAATTTTTTTTTAAAAAGCATGAATTTTAATCCCGCTACAATATTTGCAGTGGTGAGGGTTATCACAAGAATTATAATGCAAACTCTGAAAGATGACAAGCAAGAATTCTAAAAGTTGACAGCTACACTAGCGTAATCAATAAATGTGATAATTATCAACCAATATCAGTGCATAATCTGATAATTGAGTATTAATCAATCGATATCAATGCACAGTCAATCAATTTAATGCATTGTTAACTCTATTTTCTATAAAAATGTGTTGCTTTGTTTTAAAATAATTTTTAATTAAATTGCATATGAGAATCGTGTTTAAGAGAATTATTTTTTTTACAATAATATATTTTAGGGTTACTAACTGCAGCGATTTTGGTTAAAGCTACTTGGTCGTTTTAGTTTTTTTTTAAAAATTACTTTAGATTGTTTTACTTTCTAATGCTACTTAAATGTTTTGTTATTTTTCTTTATAATTAAGTTTTTGTTTGTTATAGTTTAGTTGGATTGTTTATCACATTGAGATCATGTGGTTTTGATCTAAAGTTGTAAGTTATGAAACAGACATGTATTGTGTTTTTCTGAGAATTTTCTTTATAATATTTTTGAACATCAGAATTCAGGTCATAATAAATAGCGCATTTATTTGTTGACGTATAATGTATATTTTAACTTAAGTTAATAAATATGTTGAATAAACTGTAATTTAGTTATTATTTCACATACAAATAAAATTTAATGAAACTATTTCGAGAAACCATGAACATTTAGAGTATTGATAAATAATATAGAGTATTGAATAATTTCAGGGCTGATTGTGCTCCCGAAAAAATACGGATTTTTTGCTAACAGTGATCCGGAAGTTTCCGGAGATCGAAGGTCCAGACGTTTCAAAAAATCATTGATCACAGAAATTTCCGGAAATCAAATTTTCAAAGGTGGAACTTAAAAAACACAGTTTATTTTTATTTGTTTGTAGTTTGTAGGGGATAGCCAGAGAGATACTTTATAAACTTATATTCATGATCATGATTAATATTAATTTTTTATCAGTAAATAGTTGTTATAATCATAAACTCAAGAAAGAAAGACATATTTGTAAATTTTAATTACTTCTACAGGTCATCACAGGTATGAGTAAATGGTATAGGTTTGCGTAAAATTTTAAGTATATTTTAAGTAAACTAAGAAATATTAAGAAAAAGGAAAGAACCTTGTTTAAATTTTTTCTAATTTTTCAAATAAAAATTTTTTTTTCTTTTTTTAAGAAATTTTCCAGAATTTTGACTTGGGCTCACAATCACCCCTGTAATTTAAAGTATTGAAAAATTAATTCAGATTTTGAGGAAACAGAAAATTTAGTACTATTGGAAGTTTCTTTATGTGAAGAGAGTAACTTTCTCAACTGTCATGGAAGTGACAACTTTGAATAACATGAAGGTATTATGATAGTGATAAGTAATGGATGATAATATTTCTACAATATTTATTTTAAATTTAACTTTCTTTGCTCAGCCTTAACTTTCTAGGTTAAGGCATTTGATATAGGGCTCTGATTACATTAATTTAGAAATTGGCTTAAAAATTGTCTAATACATCATTTTACTTTGGATATCTATTTTCTGTTGATAAATATTTTAAAATGTAATAGCTGTAGTAATAAAAAAATGAAAGTGTTATGGAAAAAACATTAAAATATGATCAGAAATTCAATCTATATGTCAAGTTATAGTGATCTACTAAACAAATTAAATCACAGGCAACAGTTTTTCAATATTTTGTACACAAATAACCCTTTGCATTCTTTTTCCCCCATTCATATTACTAACAGCTGAAAAGAAATGCCACTATAATTATCATAAGAAAACTAGTTCTTGTCAGTACATTTATTGATTACAGTCAAAGAATTTATATAAATATGTTTTAATTACATTTTTCCTTGTGTTATGAATCATATTGAAACTATTTATTAATCTTTTATTGCCCACAATATTGTCTAAAATAAACTTCACTATTCAGTTGTTTATCCATAAATTTAAGTTTCCTTTCAGTAATATATTCTAGCTGATAGCAATAATATCCAAGAACTATCACACAGTAAAGCTGAAAGCAATGAATGGCTAAAGGGTAAAAATAATGTAAAAGCCAAAGAGAATTTTGGAAAAGGCTATTTTTAAAATTGTTTAGCGTAATTCTTCCCTCATTCATTTTATTTAAATTTTTAATCTCAGCGAGAAGATTAAAGATCATTTAATTACTCAAAATGGACATATAGAAAAAGACTTCCATATCTTTAAATATCGTTTTGTTATTTAAAAAGATTAACCATGTTTTATTCTTCATAAGAAAATTAAAGATAAAAAAAATCAATCTTTACAAACTACTCATAAGTATCTACACTTAACACTTTGTTGACTGGCAATTTTACACTGAAACAAAGTCATATCACTGCTTATTTTGTAATTGAATATGGAAGTAAAGTAAAACATTCTGACTATTGATTTTATGCTTAAATGTTGTTGACCAATGATGAATTACAAATTAATTCGGCATCGGTCAACAACGTTTAAGCATGATAAGATGAGTTACAATTGGTGCGTAAAAAAGTGATTCTTCAAATGCATAATTTGAAATTTCTCATACGAAACAATGCAGTATTAAAAAATCAAGACAGTCGAAACCCGTGGCAGTATCTAACGGAAATGCGATGGTAAAACTATGTGGGTTTACGAGTGAATCGTTAATAATAAAGTGCATAAAAAAGTACTTGTTATAAAAGATGGGTTAAATGTAGAATTTATCAGACTTAGCTCATTACCATGCATTATGTCGAGTATTATCAGTACACTTAAGTAATATTTCATAAATGATTAAAAAAAAGATAAGTTTTAAATAAAATTTATTTCTAAACAGTTAAAATTTCATAATAAATTAATTTCTGTTTCCTTCATCATTGATTCCCAAAGGGGTGTATAACAAAAATCATAAATGTTTTATTCCAAATTTTTCAGATTTTATTAAAATTGCGTTTTCTTATGCTGATTATTTAGTTTACATATTTACTTTTTTTTTTAAAAAAATGGCAGTTTTATCCACCAAGAAAATGAATTTCGATTAATTTAATGTCTCCTTTACTCTTAGTGTCTTCAATGATAATTGATCAGAATTCAAAAACAGTATTCTTTCTCACTTTAATTTGTGACCATAAACTTTAAAAATATGTGTCAAGGATGGTATTTACCGAACACCCTGCATATGCATTAAAATTATTCAGAGCTGTATTAATCTAGAACAGAGGAAGACTTGGATTGCGTTCAAAAAATTTATGAATAACTCTATATGGTTCAAAATAATCACTCACAAAATGTACCTCATTGTGTAAGTGATTTCAAATTCTGCTATAGGTCTATTGATTCACGTCAAAAATGTTCCTTCAATACATACAAGCGCTTGTTTGTCTTACAATGATATTTAAGGAAATTTTCATTAGGTGTAGTTTCGAATTCAGGGAACCTAAACATATTCCACGGTAATTGGATTTGATGTTAATTTTATATAATTCAGTCCTAATCTAAAATTATTTAGTACAGTACAGAACCCGTTATCTGGAAAACCAAAAAACCGGAACGAAATTCGATAAATTTTCCCGCCATTTTTTTAAAAAAAATGTTTTTTTCTTCATAGGATTTTTCTTTCTTTTTTGGAAGATGTTTACCTTACCATCATTTTGGAAATAATCATTAGTGTATTACTTCATAGTTTTTTCTTCTCTTTAAGATTATTTCCAAAAAAAAATTTTTTTTAGTTGGTTTTAACAATAAAAAAAAACGGCTTTTTGTAGCGATTCAGAAAACCGGAAAAATCAGTTATCCGGAATAGCAATGGTCCCGAACGTTCCGGATAATCGGTTCCCTACTGTATATTATTAATCAAGTCAAAAATCACAAGAGGCAAAATGTTTAGAAAACATTAATAACGACACTTGTCTACAATCTAAAAAACGGTAAGCGCTTTTTGGCTATTTTTCACAACCATTTCGTCACGATTAGAGCAAAGAAAAACTCCTATTCATGTAAATTTTGACGTAACATGTCACGCAATTTTTGACGAAATGCGAAAACTGAAATATTTGATAAAACTGTTTCCTACTCGCGAGTCTCATCTTAGGTCATTCTGTTGTTTCAAGCCTGTTTGCTTATGTTGTGATAATCGAGTACAATTACAAAATTTACACTTCTTCCAAGATTTATAGAAAATAATGGTTAGTATTGTTTAAAATTTATCATGTATTTTTGCGTTTATGTCGTGTAAATATCCTAATCAATTGCATTTTTATTTGTGCTATTGATAGGTTTCATAAAACCTAATGCTAATACTTTTATATTCGACAAAACTATCATTTGTTCGATATAAATCAGCTACTTTCTAAGTGGTTATTTTATTTCTTTTCGCATGCTGTTTAAATATTATGTTGTGTAATGCTCAAGATAAAATGTTGTGACAGCAATGTAAGCGCGGAATTCCAGTATAAAAAAATCTAACAATATTAGTTGTTAGTATCCTATACATAGTACATGCACAGTAATATGATAAATTGAATCTCAAAAAATTAAGAAAATAATTGGTAATCTGATGTTTTTAGGAGGAAAAGAAATATTTCTTTACTTAAGACAAATTTCGCATCCTTAAACAAGCGAAAGAAGTTATGTTTGTCTTAGTTTCAATATATTGAAATATTCTCTAGGAACTAGTAATCGTTTTTGACAAAACTAAGTAATTCAAATGAAATGAGAGAATCATATTTTTTTACAGTGAATTTTGTTTAAAAAAACTGTCCGTAAAAGATTTTTGAGGAGATGTATCTTTTTGAAATTTCAAAGTTGAAGTTTTACCTCCTATTTTTTTTTTTATCTAAAATTCATTAAACAAAATTCGTTAAAAGATGAGATTCGACAAAAATATCATTTGTTAGATTTAAATCGTCCATTTTTTATGTGTTTATTTTATTTCTTTTCATGCTATTTAAATATGTTGCGTAATGTTTAAGATAAAATGTTGTGACAGCAATGCAATTAAGAAATTACAGAAAAAAATACTCATAATATTAGTTTTTAGTATCCTATACATAATCTCTGCAAAATAATATAATGAAACTGAATCTCTAAAAACAAAGAAAATAAGTTATAATTTGATACTTTTAAGAAGAAATATTTCTTTACTTTAGACAAATTTCGCATCCTTAAACAAGCGAAAGAAGTCAAGTTTGTCTTAGTTTCAATATATCGAAATATTCGCTTGGGGCATTTCCAGTAATCGTTTTTGTCAAAACTAAGTAATTTAAATGAAATGTGAGAATCATATTTTTTTACAGTGAATCTTGTTTAAAAAAACTATCCGTAAAAGATTTTTGAGGAGATGTATCTTTTTGAAAATTCAAAGTTGAAGTTTTACCTCCTCCTATTTTTTTTTTAATCTAAAATTCATTAAACAAAATTCGTTAAATGATTAGATTCGACGAAAATATCATTTGCTAGATTTGAATCATCTATTTTTTATGTGTTTATTTTATTTCTTTTCATGCTATTTAAATATGTTGTGTAATGTTTAAGATTAAATGTTGTGACAGCATTGCAAATAAAAAATTACAGTAAAAAATACTCATAATATTAGTTTTTAGTATCCTATACATAATAAATGCACAATAATATGATGAAACTGAATCTCTAAAAACAAACAAAATAATTCATAATCTGATGCTTTTAAGAAGAAGAAATATTTCTTTACTTTAGACAAAATTCGCATACTCTAACAAGCGAAGATAGTAATATTTGTATAAGTTACAATGTATCAAAATGCGTTTCTAGTCTTTGGTTTTGTCAAAACTATGAAAATGTGATGAAATGTATATTTTTTACAGTGAATCTTGTTTAAGAAAACTGTCTATGAAAGATTTTTACAGTGATGTATCTATTTGAAATTTAAAAGTTGAAATTCTGCCTTATTCTATTTCTCTATCTAACATTGATTTAGCACTTTTCACAATTCTTTAAAATTCCGAGTTGTTTTCAAAGTACAGAAAAAGTGTTAAAATAAAGAAGCTTTAAGTTGACCTTTAAAAGATGAAAATTAAGAAAAAAAAGGAAAAAAAAGCTTAGTTTTATTTACTTAATTATAGAATTAGTAATTAGAAAATTAGTAATTTAATAATTCGAGCCGCAGTGGCTCGGGAATACAGCGTTCACCTCCCAATGAGATGACCCAGGTTCAAATCCCAGCGGTGGCTGGTTGACACGAATTCTCCCCCCTCGCACCAACCATAGTGCTGACGTAAAATATCCTCAGTGGTAGACGGCTCCTGGGTCAAAAAACCGTCTGAGGTTTTCGTGGTTTTCCTCTCCATGTAACGCAAATGCTGGTTAGTTCCCTCAAAAAGTACTCCACGATGGCTATTCTGTCCCAATTCTTGATTTAAGAGTTCCCTTGTACTCTGGATTGGGTTCAAAATTGAGTTACAAGACTATGGAGTTAAACATTGATAGTTGTAAACTCAGAATTGAGTTGGCTGTTCCACGCCGCGGGTATAGAATAAAATAAAATTTCTTAATTTGAAAATTGTAAAAACTATTATTTGAGATTCGAAAATCAATTTAATTATACATAAGATCAGAGATTTTATTAACAAATCTTGCACAATTTATTAGCAGGTGACATTCAAAACTTATATTACAATCAAAATGTACAATATATATATACATTCAACTGCCATGCTTATAAATAACTTTTATAGAACTCGTATTTAAGTATATTTTATAATACAAATAAATAATGCACGATCCATATTAGGAGTGACAATGAAAAGTATGTACAAGCATTAAACTGTTTTTATAATTCTTTACAATCCCGAGTTGTGCCTGAAGTAAAAAAAAAGTGTTAAAATGGAGAAGCTTTAGGCTAACCTTTAAAAAAATGCAAGTTTAAAAAAAAACAAAAATGTAAGCTTTTTATTTATTTAATTAGAAAATTAGTAATTTCTTAGTTTGAAAATTGAATAAATGATTGTTCGAAAAATCAATTTAATTACACTTAATATCAAGGATTTTATTAACAAACCGTATACAATTTATTAGCAGGTGACATTCAAAACTTATATTACAATCAAAATGTACAATATATTTACATTCAAATTGTCATGCTCATAATTAACTTACATGAACTGAAATATTTTTTATAATACAAATAAATATGCCATCATCCATTTTAAGAGTGACTATATTAAGTATGTCATATGAATAAATGAAGTTTTTAATTACTAATTATCTGAAGTCAAACATTATAAATTGGGTGCATTCAAGCCATATTGTGATTACATTGGTAAGATAAGATTATTCATAAGGAAATTTTAACTGTTTAAATTGTTTGCTATTTAGAATAGATTGTTCACTATTTAAATGAGTCGCTACATTAGTTCCATGACATTGTCTCAAGCAATGGAGATAAATCGGTAAAGTTATTTCTGATGATTTTATTTCTAAATTTTTAATGTCCAAGAAAAGCTAAAGCTGTTATTATTATTCAGAGAAAATTGAATTTTAACACTTCTTTTGAATCGTAATTTTCTGAGAATCACCTAGAGGCGAAAAAAGAATTTCAAAAATGTTCTTATCATATTTAAATTCGCTCCATAAGTTTGAGATGGATTATTAGAATTTGAAAGACTGCTACTTCTTTTTCATTTTAAAAAAGTGACTACGGTAGAATTAAATTTCGATTTTCAGGAATTTGGATATTAAGCTGGACTTCAGGGAAATGCAACAAATTGAGAATAAAAGAATGTTGTTTGTTAAATTTTTATCAATTTTGATCAGTTAAAATTTTAAGCAAGAAATGATTACATTTTTAACATTTGTCGTCTTAACGGTTTAAATTTTTTGTGTATTATTTTATTAAAGCTCATTCATTTCTTTATTAAAGCTCATTCATTTCTTTATTAAAGCTCATTCATTTCTTTATTAAAGTTCTTTAGAGTTCTAGAACGTGGGGATCCGATCAGAGACTCAATCAGACCAGAAAACATACTAATTAAAAATAAATACTGTTTTTCTGAAGAATTAGAATTAAATAATCGGAAATAAGGAATTCGGGAAGTATGACACAAGTAGTTTAGTCTGTATCTGCTTGAAATTAAAAAAATATGACACTGATAGTATAGTTTGCAACAGAAATATGGAAAATATGACAATCATAGTTTAATTTATCGAGCGTTCAAAGTTCGATCTCTCTAAACTGTCTACTAGGTCTGAAGTTTTTTTTATATCACGGAAGAAAAAAAACGCGAACCTTTCCACACAGAATTTTAAAATTTATTTGCTTGAAAGTTATTAAAAAATTTTAAGTATGGGGCATGTCCCTGTGTAATTTTCTACTTCAAAATTTGAAAGAAACTGGAGTTATAGAAAATACGCTTATATTAAAAATTTTAAGTGTTTTCCAGTCATAAAATGGCCTATTTTAATGCGAATCCGCCCAGAAGAAAGTAAAGGTGGCTGGTGAGCAATGCTAACCATATCGTTGATCTTGAAATTGTAGATACTTAACCCTTTGACGCAGAATTTTTATTAAACATATTTTTCATACGTTTTTCATTGTTTTGCATTAATTTAGGTAAAAATAAGTGAAAAATATTATATTTAGCATTTTAATAATGTATGTTTATGAAATACAACATGAAACACCGGTGCCTTTTTCTACGTTAAAGGTAAAAGTTTTTAAACATGGCTCACTTCCAGACAATAATTTTTTAAATCTGCTCTTATTTAGATCCAAGCTATACGTAGTTCATCATAGAAATTTCTTTAATTTACTAAATTAATTATTGATACATTTTTTAGTATGAATGGAAAATAGTTTTTAAATTACTTTTTTTGGATTTTATATTTTAGTACAAATATAAACAAATATAATTCCGATAATCTTACAGATCTTTCTCATTAGTTATTAGACTGTTTTTTATTATTAAAAAATGGCTAAATATATTTTTACATGTAATTAGAACGTCGAAAAAAAAATATATTAAAGTGATACCGGTATCCCTTCTGCGTCAAAGAGTTAATCTGTATGATACTATTGGCTGACAATTGTCTATTGCGGGGAAGTGCTTCACCTTATACGAGCAATTCAATCTATTTTTTTAAATTTAGGCACGCATGAAAAACATTGAACTTTTAATGATGTTTTTCGAACAGTTATTACCACTTGAAAATAATCAGAATAAGAATTGTTGCATTTCCCTTGGATTTTTCTTCTTATATAGCCAGAGATTTTCGAATAATTTCAATGAAATTTTAAAAATAAAGCATTTTCTGAATTTCAATCTAGCTATAAATATTTACTTTAAAATCGTTCGGGAGATTTTGCTGATGGTTGTATTTCCCAATTTTCATTATTATGAGGTAATATACCGGCAAATACAATGAAATACAGACAAACAAATATCGTGAAGAGACTAGGAAATAAGATTTTAGCAATACTTTCTATTTTAAATGACAATTCTCGTGAAGTCATTCTCGAGAATTTTGATTCATGTGCTCTGATCCATGCAAATTTAGAACTTTCTTTCTTTTCACTCTTTTCTTTTTGGTCTGAATCTTCAGTTTCTTCTCTTGTCTGCAAAATATATTAAACAAATACTTAGGTAATGTTCAACAGAACAAAGCTGTCTTATAAATGATACTCTACTGTTAGTGTTGTAGTGACAAATTTTACCGTGGCGGGACACTAAAAATTCAACTATATTAAGGTCATTTTTTTTCTGAAAATAACCTGTGGAAATCTTATCAAAACTTTTGTTTCTAACTGCATTTTGCTTATAACTTTTTAAATGATGCTTTATGGTTAGCGTAGCTGGGACAAATTTTTCCGTCAATAGTTCAAGTTCCGCAGTGGACTGACCATAAAGACACGGTTCCCAGTAGAACACCGAAATCAAGCATCACTGACTGCGGTCAGTAAGCGGGTGGGTGATCACTCGGATCAGTCAGCGTAGGGACCGAGGGTGTGCGGTATTGGTCCTCGTTAAACTGTTCTACCGTAAAGTGCTTGACTTCGCGGGCAGGTCGTTGGGCTACCGAAGCAGAGGTGCCATCGCCTCTGCAGAGGATCAAAATTGTGATGGCTTGTCTTCGGATCATCCTCAGGGATGTTGCCCAGACCGTCGCCAATAGCGCATTGTGCAGCTCTAGTGCGACGTAAATTAACTACTACTACTACTTTAGTTCGGCGTAAATAAAATACCTACCATAAATTCAAATATATTATTTTATTCTTTCTTGAAAATAAAATGTTGAAAACTTATCGAAACTTTGGTTCCTAAATGTATTTCGTACTCTCTAAGTTATGTCCAATTTAATGTAAGATTTTAAGTGAGTTTTCCCCCATTTAATTAAAATTTTTGATATAATTTAATGCTAAAAACATAGTGTCTTGCCAAATACAAAGATCATAATTTGTTTTCGTTTTTAAACTTTAAAGATAAATTTATAAAAGTTCAAGACAATTTGCAACCAGTAAATATCTGTAAAATTGATTAAAAAATGGTATTTTTTCCAAAAAAAGAAAAAAAAAACAGTGGGGGTGCTTTGTTTTTCGCTCACTACACCCTTGTTATGGTTCAATACAGGATTAGAATGCAAAATTAACTGCTAGATGGTATACGTATGATATGTTATGTGGTAGCATTTGGAACTTTATGAAAATTGCATAATGGTGTTTTGCGACTTTTTAAGTTGTAAGCCTAAATTAGTTAACGTTGTTCAAGCTGGATGCGATAAGTACAGAGCATAAAAAAAGTAATCGAAACACTCTGAATAAATTTCCATTGATCGGATTTTCACGTATTAGAACTCGATCCTAAGGGTTTGAGGAGGTGACCTCAAATATTCTAATTGATCAGTACAGACGATATTTTAAGTTTCAAAACCTGACGTAAAAATGTATTTTCTGTGAATAAACGTACCTCGTTTTGACGGATTATAATTCCTGACCCCCAAAATTTAGGGAATAGCCGCAAACTGGGAAACATGGTCCCAATAGTTTGGTCAGATGACAGGACGAAATTTGGACCCCTTCATGTTAATTTTATTTTTTGCCACAAATTTATATTTTCCCACAAATGCTGATTCATCTCTTCGATGATCTTGTTAAACTTGCTTAATTTGTCGATTGGCATATTGCAAGAGTTCAATATTTTTTTATACTTTTTGTTCAATAAACATTCCCTTTTTTCCTTTGTCCATGTTTTGTCTGTCTCGGTTGCGTTTTATTTGGGACATACCATAATATTTTGCATAGAATTATCTTTGGATAAGCGAATTTTATAATTTTATGCAAGAATTTTTCAGAACGCTTAAAAAGTTCTCGAGATATGGCAAAATTGACAAAAATAAAATTAACAGGTCCAAACCTTGACCCCTCTCCTGACCAAACTATCGGGACCGTATTTTCTAGATTGTGGCTGCCCCCTATATTTTGAGGGTAAGGGATACAGAGCCGTCGAAAATCGGGTGCTTTTTCAAAGAACGTACGTTTCTATTCTTGATTTCGTAATTTAAAATACCGTCTACACTAATTAATTAGCATATTTGAGGTCCTCCCCTTGAAACTTCAGGATTGAGTCCTAGATCATGAAGATCCGATCATTAGATCAAAACTTATTCAGGTTGGTCCTTTTTTTATTCTACACACTGTGCATATTAAACAGTTATATCCTCTAAAAAGCTTGCAGATTTTTTTGCATCATTTTATATACCCATAATTTTACACGGGCCATTTATACGCTGTCAAATATGTCCCATGGGCTACCTTTTTAAACCACTATAATTGAGTTCTGGTGCAGAAAGATCTAGTTACTAGATCACAGATTATACACAGTGTTCCACTTTTTCTTTTTAGCTCACTGTACACAATGAAGCTAAACATTTTAACTCTTATATAACCCCTCTCTTTGATTAACTCTTTACGAGCTAGGTCTTAACCTTTACTCATCGTTAACAGGAGTCCTGTCATCAGACTTGCGACGCCTTAAAGCGAACGAAAACTTGATTTTTCACTGATCTCTCTAGCCTGCTTTTAAGCAAGCATTGTTAAGCGAAGACAATGGATGAATTTAGGCATGTGATGATTTGCTCCTTGCGTCACGTGGTTTTTTTCCCGTTAATCCTTGCAAGGATTAACGGGACATAATCGCCTATCACCCTAACATTAGGAATGGTGTAAAATTTGACAAGCCTTGTTAGCAGGCTTGTAACGTCAGGAGATCAGAGGCCTTATTTCAGTTATTATGCAAATAGAGTGTTAGAAGTAGGTAGAGGAGTCAGTCTGACACTAAGGCTAGAAATTTTTAATACCTCTGCTCATGTGTCACAGCCAATAACTTTTTAGCAAACAGCCATATTAAAAAAAATGAATTGAAATTAAATAGAATCGGCTTACCTTTTTGCACTGACTACAGACATACTGTAGAGCTGATTCTTTTGGAATTTCAGGCAAAGGTTTTCGATATAGGTAATTAACTACAACGAATTCTAAGAGTGAACTGTATATAAAGAACATACAAACACCATCCCATAAGTTCATTGCTGTCAGGTTAGACACCACGGGTAATGATGATCTGAAGTTGTTTGTTGTTGTACAGAAACTCAACATAGTTGTCACACCAATCATTACTCGAGCTGGAACAACTCCTTTATCCAACCAAAAACTGATAAACGCACTGGTTACAAGAATCATTCCTGGTACAAATACTGAACTGAAGTAATAATTTTTATCTCTTGTAAAAACAAGCAATATATGAAGACAGCTGTAGTTTCCTGCAATAGCATACATGACATTTTTATTAAAGGAATAAACACATGATAATGAATAAGTTAAAAGTTTATTTTATAAATTTATAACCATCTTGAACAGCCGTCCCAATTTCTGGGTTTACGACTACTAATGTTCAACTACGTAGCCTTGTAATTTTGAACCCTATCCAGAAGACAAGGGAACTCCTGGTTCAAGTATTGGGAGAAATTTGCCTTCGTGGAGGTTTTTTCGATGGAACTAACCCGGATTTGTGTTAAATGGAGAGGAAAACCACTGGAACCTGTCATGNAATATATGAAGACAGCTGTAGTTTCCTGCAATAGCATACATGACATTTTTATTAAAGGAATAAACACATGATAATGAATAAGTTAAAAGTTTATTTTATAAATTTATAACCATCTTGAACAGCCGACCCAATTTCTGGGTTTACGACTACTAATATTCAACTGCGTAGCCTTGTAATTTTGAACCCAATCCAGAAGACAAGGGAACTCCTGGTTCAAGTATTGGGAGAAATTTGCCTTCGTGGAGGTTTTTTCGATGGAACTAACCCGGATTTGTGTTAAATGGAGAGGAAAACCACTAGAACCTGCCATGGTAAGCCTGACGGCAAGGGGACTCTAACCCATGATTCGTCTTCCACTGAAGATATTTCACATCAGCACTGTGGTTTATGACAGCCGGATGCGGAATTCGTATCGACCAGCCATTGCCGGGATTCGAACCCGAGTTAAAAGTTTGGGAAATATATATTAATTTAGCTATATTGTTTAAGCATGCAAAGCGTTTGCTAGAAATATATATTCTAGATATTATTTTAACGCTGTTTTTTCGAAGCTTTCTCACCAAGGAAAAAAAACAATACTTAAAGAGCCGTATGCTTGAAGCAATGCGATTATTTTAAACTATATATATAATCGTGCCGTGAAGAATTATCTGGGCTTTAGGGCAGGCAAATAACTTGCAAATAACTTGGATACTATCTGACAGCCGTAGTTCAATTCAACACCTCAAAAATTGGGCCCTCATTGGAGATAAAACCAGTTTTTCGATCTTACAAAAAGTAAAGCTCATTTCCCAACAGCATGAGGTCCACTTTCAATGGATCCCGTCCCACGTCGATATCCACGGCAACGAGTTGGCTGAGACTCTTGCAAAGAAGGGACTAGACCATCCAGTCCCCTCCACCTCAGAGCTTACATACCTTGAACTTTTTGCAAGGCAAAAGGCCCAGAATAAACAAAAGTGGTTGCTTCCACCTATTCACTACTGGTATAAAGCAAAAAGACCAGGACTCTCTCTATCTCTCCCTGGTGACAGGCAAACCAACACCTGCCTATCCCGACACCTGAAAAGTCTCACATTTTCTGCAAATCAAAAGATCTTTCCTCTTTGCCCTAAATGCCAACAAAACCAGGCATAACCTGAACACATCTTGATCTGTTTAGGGCTGGACTGGAACGATATTCATTCCTCTCCCATTCTGGTTTCGGATTTTCTCAATGTTAACGGATTCATTGATCTGGTCTGACCCCGTCAGACCAGATGGGAATTAGCAACAACAACAACAAAAGTTATTAAACTTTTTTAAAAATCACCAATTTGGGGAAGTTTCTCTACCTAGAAATCACTGCCTTATTTTATTTTTAGCTTTTACAAATATTTATGAGCCCAAGTAATGCAGCATAAAATAATGTGGATATGGAGGTGATGGTGGAGATGATTCTAATAATTGCTTTTCAATTCCTATATGTTTTTTCGGATAAGAAAACAAGTTTTGGTGTTTTCACTTCCACCTTTCTCAATAGTTATTCGATTTCAATAGCATTTTTAATATGTATAGTTTTTTGAATATTCATTCGTTGCAAGGATTATATATATATA